ATATTACCTCCCCAACAGAGTTTTTGGACTGATGGTGTTCCTAGTTTGTGACCTAGCGAGCCAGTGTCAGAATATATTTATTGATGGACTTCAAAGCACTTTTATAAATCGCTCTGGATAAGGGTGTCTGCCAAATGCCGTAAATGTAAATGCACTGGCCTTTTGCTATTCTGACGGTTTTACCAAGGGCATAGCTGGCTTCTTTATACTCCTCCATATTGCAGGAATTAAAATCAGAGGTTTGCGTGTTTAGGGTCATGCAAACATCATTGTTAATCCATGGTTTCTGATTTTGGTAGATCCAAATTGCACAACTTCTATACATTTCTTGATGAAACATTACAGATTCCAAGCAAACCTCAATGTTGCCATCAGATGCAGACCGAAACATCACCCAGTCCATGTGATAAAACAGTCCTGTAGCATAGAAACCAGTTGGTCCAACCAGCATGGGATCATTCTGAGAGTGGGTGCTTCTTGTTTCAGCTTCTGCCTGTAAGCAGGCAGGGGCAGGATGGAGGAGTGATCCAATTTGTCGAAATGTGGGCCAGGGGAGGGATATGTAGCCATCCTGGAAGGGAGAGTAGCAATGGTCAAATGGAGTTATTTTTCTGAAGTTGGCTTTGTTGAAGTCCCCAGTCACAATGAACATGGCCTCAGGGTATGCGGTTTCCTGCTTGCTTATGTTCCCATGCAGTTCCTTGAGTGCCTGGTCTGTGTCGGCATGAGGGGGTATATACACAGCAGTAAGAAAAAACCATTGTGATTTCCCTCGACACAGAAGCATGAGGTATTCCAGGTCAGGGGAACAAAAGGACTTGCTAGAGTGTACGTTTCTCTGCCAGCAACATTGTTGTTGACCATAAAACATACATCCCCTAATCTGCCATCCTCTCCACAGCGATAACAGAGGTGCTCCACTGAACCATTTGGTTGTTTCCAAAGAGGGGGACGTTTTGAAACTCCCATAGTTGTGGCCTAGGCTTAACCCTAGGCTTCTGGCTCAGCTGTCTTCCTACTGACTTTCTGTTGCAGCCTTTTTACTTGTTTTTTCAAGACTAACAGCTCTGCATCCTGGAAATTCTCACAGTGGGATATAATGTGTTCACCTGTGTTTTCTCTGATCTCCCCATGGCTGGGGGCTGACTTGGTCACCACAGCTGCCACCATGGACTTAAGCTCTTTTACCTCAGCTTTCAGACTCAGAATCCTAGTCTGTCTTCTCAACTTCTGCTATTGCCTGAACATACTGCAGTTAATTGTTTAGTGTTTTCTTTAGCCTGTCGTACAAACCCATTTGGCTGTTCACTGGAATTCTATGAGGAGAAGGCTGGAGATGAAGTGCAAGCTAAGTCTCCAGCAGAGCTCCAGCCCGACGCCCACTGGGCGGTCTCCCCAGCAGAGCTCCCTACAACGGCCGACAGAGCAGCTGCCACAGCAAAGCTCCAGCCAGATGCTGACATGACGACCTCCCCTGCAGAGCTCCCTCCAGACGCTGACAGGGTGGCCTCCACAGCCAAGCTACAACCAGAGACCTGACGGCATGGCCTCCTACACCATGCTCCTGCCTGAAGCTGATGGCACTGCCTCCCATGACCTGCTCAAGCCTGAGGCCGACGGCATGGCTTCCCAAGTCCTCCTTACACCTGAGGCCAATGGTGCAGCCTCCCAAGTCTTGCTCACACCTGAGGCCAGCAGTGTGGCCTCCCAAGTCCAGCTTCTGCCTGAGACCGATGGTGCAACCTCCCATGCCATGCTTCTGCCAGAGACTGAAGGCGTGGCCTCCCATTGGCCAGAGGCCAATGCCACAGCCTACCAATACTTGTACCTGCCACCTGACCCCAGCCAGAATGTCATTAACCCACCATCTGCTTCCCAACGACTTGGCCTTTCATGCCATACTCCTGCCTGGGGCCAAGGGCACGGCCTCCCACGACCTGCTAACGGCTGAGGCAGAAGAGGCGGCCTCCCAAGATCTGCTCACAGCAGTTGAAAAATAACTTGAGTGGCCTGCACAGAGCCCTGACCTCAACCCCATTTGAAAACATTTGGGATAAACTAAGGCAACTGTGCCCCAGGCCTCCTCACCCAACATCAGTGACTGACCTCAACAATGCTGTGGAAATCCCCATTAGCCACATTTCAAAATCTAGTGGAAGGCCTTCCTAAAAGAGTGGTGGTTATTATAACAGAAAAGGGAGGATTGAATCTGGAATGGGATGTTCAGAAATCACATATGGGCCTCATGGTCAGGTGTCCACAAACATTTGGCCATATAGTGTATCTTTTAAGGCTATGAGGGGAAAAAAAAGAAAACAAATTGAGTTTTGGAACAAAAAAGCCACTCATAAGTAAAGAATATCTCACAAATATTCAGATGCTTTCATCAGCATTTCTGTATACACAACAAAAATATTTTGAAATTGGGGAAAAACAATTAGATTATTGATAAATTAGTAAAGCCCCAGGCCCTGATAGGTACCACTGTGAATTTTACAAGGAATTGAGTCATGTCCTTTCTCTCTCTCTCTCACACACTCACACACACACACACACACACACACACACACACATAGTGTATATATATATATATATATATATATATA